CACAGGTGTACCAAGAGGTATCCACGAAACTACTTGAAATACACTCAGTCGGCCCATAATGGCTATCCTCTATATCGTCACAGAAATACTGAGCATGGTGGATTTCAAATAACGCTCAGACCTGCCACTAACTCTGAAATTAAGGTTGTCAACCGGTGAATCGTTCCCAATTGCCCTCTTCTGTGCAAGATCTTCCAGGCCCACTTTAATGTAAAATTCTGCTATTCTGCAAAAGCCATCAAATATATTTGCCAATGCATCAAGAAAGGTTTTGACATGGCTTTCTTTGCCTTGCAAAAGAGAGGGGCAAAGTGTGCATGAGGTAAAACTTTTTTTCAAGGAATATATATCAGCAACAATGAAGCAATTTGGAGAATTATTGGCTTCCCCATCCATGAGCGTTCCCCCACAGTCGTCCATTTGGCAGTTCACCTCCAAAATGGTCAACGAATCTACTTCACCAAAGGAAATGCCAACAACAAGATACCACCCTGATGGCGTTCTTTCTTTTGTGCCCAAGAGACCCATTTGCTGCCTCCCTGCTCTACCATAAAGTTCTCTCCTACTATACATGGACTGCTAGAAAAATGGAAGTGACGTGCTGCTGACGGTGAATCAGATGCCTTAGGAAGAGTCTACACAGTTAATCCCAACAATCAGCAGTGCTACTTTCTCCCAATGCTTCTCCATGTTGCCAAAGGGTCCAAAACTTTCCAAGATCTCTAAACAGTGGGAGGAGTTGTCTGTCAAACATACAGGGAAGCTTGCAAACTTCGTGCAATTCTTGCGCATGATCACCATCTTCATAAAGCTATGACAGAAGCTTCTGTTACTCAGTCCCCTTTCCAACTGACATTGCTCTTCTGCATACATCTTCAAGTTTGCAGCCCATCTATCCCCATGGGACTCTGGCAAAAATTACAAAGAAGGCATGAGTGAGGACATCCTCCACGGAGCTTAATGAGAAAATTCAAACCTCGACGTCAACTTCTCTGATGTTATCTTCAAACAGGCCCTCATTCTCCTTGAGGACAAACTGCACTCCATTGGTGGAAAAGACATCACGTCTATGGGACTACCGAAACCCTACAGGGACAACCTTAATGCCCTTGCTCATGAGATCCTACGTTAAATATCCTATGATGGTTTAAAGCTTCTTAAATGTATTGAGAAAAATGAACCAAAGCTGATGGATGCACAAAGAGAAGCCTACACGAAAATCTTGGAAGACATTGAGACAAAAAATGGAGTATTTCTTTTCCTTGATGCACCTGGCGGTACTAGGAACACCTTTGTTCTCAACCTGCTCCTCGCTAAGGTTCGCCAGAGGGAGAAAATAGCTCTAGCTGTGGCATCATCGGGGATTGCTGTTTAAGTAGATGAGTGTGTGTGAGTGGATGAGTGTGTTTGAGTCCATATGTGTGCACGTGTAGGTCGATGTGTGTGTGGGTCGATGTCTCTGTGTGTGTAAGTCGATGTGTGTGTGTGTGAGTCAATGTGTGTGTTTGAGTCCATATGTGTGTGCGTTTAGGTCCAGGTGTGTCAGTCGATGTGTGCCTGTGTCTTGCATGGCTCCATGTGTGTGTGTACGTCGATTTGTATGTGTGTGAGTCCATATGTGTGTGTGTTATTCCATATGTGTATGTGTCAGTCGATGTGTGTGTGTAAGTCAATATGTGTGTGTGAGTTGATATGTGTGTGTAACTCCATGTGTGTGTATCTAAAGTCCATGTCTGTGTGTGTGAGTCCATATGTGTATCTGTGTGTAGGCCAATGTCTGTGCGAGTCTATGTATGTGTGTGTGTGTGAGTCGATGTGTGTGTGTAAGTTGATGTGTGTGCGTCGGTCCATGTGTGTAAGTCTATATGTGTGTGTCTTAGTCGATATGTGTGTAAGTCCATATGTGTGCTTAGGTCGATGTGTGTGTGAGAGTCTACTTATGTGTGTGTGTTAGTCGCTGTATGTGTGTACGTTAATATGTGTGTGAGTTGATTTGTGTGTGTAACTCCATGTGTGTGTATCTAAAGTGGATGTCTGTGTGTGTGAGTCCATATGTGTGTGTGTATAAGTCCATGTGTGTGTGTGTGTGGGACGATGTCTGTGTGTGTGTGTGTGAGTCGGTGTGTGTGTAAGTTGATGTGTGTGTGTGCTTTTTCAGCTGTACAACGCCGGGTACTTCCCCTTAGTCTTATATATAAACTAGCAGTAAGTACCCGGCATTACCCGGGCAAAAAAGACAGCCATACACATCGACTTACACACAGATATCGACCCACACACATAGAAACACATCGACTTACACGCACACACACATATGGATTCACACAGACAGACATCGACTTTAGACACACACACATGGAGTTACACACACACATTGACTCACACACACATAGACTTACACACACAGATGGACTCACACACACACATACAAAGACTCACAGACACATTGACCTACACACACATATGGACTTACAAAGACAGACATATCGACTAAGAGTTGTTCTCCGTATTTATTCATTCTTTAAGCTACCTCTTCGACTTACTCCTAACGTACTACTTTACAATGCATTTATGGCTTTTATTTTGGTGATTTCGAAAACGTTTTTTTTGGTTTTGGCCATGTTTTTGTTTATTGTAGTACGGAGTTAGACTGATGGCCTTAATCTTAGTTGTCTTGTTGTTGGGATTTTTGCACACAGCGTTGGTGTACGGTGCTATTTCAGGAATATTTTGATGTTTTTTTCATGGATTTTCTGTTTGCACAGTCACATAGTCGCTTTAAGATGTTTTCTTGTTCGTGTTTTTGTTTGTTGCGGTTGCACCCGATTCAAGAGCCGAATGACTCACAGGGCTATACCAAAATAAATGAACTATGGAACTAAAAAAGACACACACAGCGCCGTACACACACACATGGACCCACACACATCGATTTACAGACACACATCAACTCACACACACAGACATATGAACTTACACACACACACATCTCGACGCACACACACATGGACTCTCACACACATTGCCATACACACATCGACTGACACATAAACTCACACACGCACATAGAGCCACACACATTTTATTATGTAGTTTTGGTGATCTGTGCTAAACGCCTGACACTGTACGCTGTGTGTAATGCTGGTCTAGGCTATGTGTATTTTCGTGCAAATTTTGTTTTTTTCATGAAAGGCTTATTAAAATTGTAACTAATTATTAGTTTGTTACAAGAATCATAAATTTTCTCTAAAAATATATCAGCGCCACATCTGCTAAAATGTAAGTGCCCCCTGTTTTTGTATTTTATCTTTTCGTTTTGCACACCATTACAGAATACTAATAAATAATCTATTCGTCAATTGACACCAAATGTGATATAAGGAGATTTTGTGTTTGTTTATTGAATAAATTCAACACAATCTTAAAATTGCAGTCTTTTTAATTCAATGTAATATTGATGAACCCGTCAACCAATATTGATGAACCCGTCATATGACGGGTTCATCAATATTGGTTTATGAATATGGAAATGAGGTCGATCTGGAGGGGACCCTTCCCTCTAACCTGGCATCACGAACTGACCTTGTGGCTGGGTGTGGCCGGTCACGTGCGCGGGCGTGGTCCCGTCACGTGGCGTTATATCAACGGCTCGCGATTGGCGGAGCTCCGTGACTGCGACAGTCGGCTCCGAGGTTTCGCGGTGCCGGAGAAGCGATCCGCGGTCGTGATGCCGACGGTCGATTCTGCGTTTTGTTATCACCGCAGCCGTAGCAACCCGCAACCACTGCAATTGTGAAGCGAGAGTCAAACGCCAGTTCATTCGATCTGAGTTCCTACCGTTCGTTCAAAAAATTATAATTTCTTCTCAATGTCATAACATCACCACCTGCTCGATTCCTAGCGATCCCTTTCGATCCGATGGTTTCATCAATTCGCGTCTCGATTCCAGGAGGAGGGGGGGGGATCGATTCCACCTCGCGCAGTCGCAGCGCGACCACGTGGTAATCCCGAGGCGAGTGGGGCCGGGGTAGGGTGGGAGGGGCTTGAGGACATTAAGGGTGGGGCGAGTGGTTGGAGGGGTTTGGGGTGGGAAGTGGGCGGTGGGCGGGGTTAGTTGTGGAAGGGCGGGGTAGAGAGGAGGGGATTGGGGTGGGAAGTGGGCGGTGGGCGGGGTTAGTTGTGGAAGGGCGGGGTAGAGAGGAGGGGCTTGGGGGTGGGAAGTGGGCGGTGGGCGGGGTTAGTTGTGGAAGGGCGGGGTAGAGAGGAGGGGATTGGGGTGGGAAGTGGGCGTTGGGCGGGGTTAGTTGTGGAAGGGCGGGGTAGAGAGGAGGGGCTTGGGGGTGGGAAGTGGGCGGTGGGCGGGGTTAGTTGTGGAAGGGCGGGGTAGAGAGGAGGGGCTTGGGGGTGGGAAGTGGGCGGGGTTAGTTGTGGAAGGGCGGGGTAGAGAGGAGGGGTTTGGGGTGGGAAGTGGGCGGTGGGCGGGGTTAGTTGTGGAAGGGCGGGGTAGAAAGGAGGGGTTTGGGGTGGGAAGTGGGCGGTGGGCGGGGTTAGTTGTGGAAGGGCGGGGTAGAGAGGAGGGGCTTGGGGGTGGGAAGTGGGCGGTGGGCAGGGTTAGTTGTGGAAGGGCGGGGTAGAGAGGAGGGGCTTGGGGGTGGGAAGTGGGCGGTGGGCGGGGTTAGTTGTGGAAGGGCGGGGTAGAGAGGAGGGGTTTGGGGTGGGAAGTGGGCGGTGGGCGGGGTTAGTTGTGGAAGGGCGGGGTAGAGAGGAGGGGCTTGGGGTGGGAAGTGGGCGGTGGGCGGGGTTAGTTGTGGAAGGGCGGGGTAGAGAGGAGGGGCTTGGGGTGGGAAGTGGGCGGGGTTAGTTGTGGAAGGGCGGGGTAGAGAGGAGGGGCTTGGGGGAGAAACGGAGGATGAGCGGGTCGAGTGACGGAGGGGCGGGGTTAAGGGGGGGGGCTTGGGGGGGAAGTGGGGCCAAGGGGCGGGGCTTAGGGGTACGGGGTGGAGCTGGGGAGAAGCGACGGGAGGTTTGAGAGTTCGCGGAGAGACATTCGGAGAGTGGACATCGCTCAAGGGCGACGATCATGGCGCAGCTGAAGGAGATGTTTGACAACTTCGTGAAAGAGAAGAACGTGTTCACGGAGGCGCTGGATCTCGTGGAGAAGAAGACGGGAGTCAGCAAGAGCATTCTGGCGCTGGGTACGTGCTTGAGAAGCCGTGGTGATGATGATGACGACGATGGGTGATGTTGCTGTGCATTGTAATGCTGAAGCAGGAGTCTGTTTGCGATATCTCATAACCACGCAGGTTCCTCGATTTGCTAAATATAGTCATCTGATTTTTTTTATTTTTTCCAGCGGCATTTATTAAATTAATGTCATAAATAATTTGTACGAAAATAGCTTTTACCCATTTCGTAAAACTATTTGGTTTTTTCCAGTCACTAACGATCCAGCGGCGAGATGACATCATTGTTACAGCACTGTGCAGTTTTATTGATCGTGCCACTCACTGCTGTTGTGATGTCGGTGATCGAAGACTCATCACGGCAGGCTCGTGTGTTGCGTGAACTGCAGTTTAAGAACGTCATCTCAATTCACACTGTAATTATAACAAAGCACAACAACATATATTTGTAATACTATGCATGAGAAAACAAGATATCGTCACAATTCTCAACGTAAATTTTTCGTGTCGTAAAAATGAGAATCGTGGCAACCCCCCAGCAGCTAGTGGTTGTTGGGTGTTAAAGGTGAATGCATGATGAGACTGTGGTGATAATGTTGATGTGTTGTCTAAGGCGGCGGTAGTGACGTGGCGCAGAGATCAACACAAATAGTTGATCCCCCTCCCCCCGCGTAGGTCCTGGGTTCGAATCCGGGCAGCGAGTTGATTGATGGTCTCATTCCTGTCACGAGTGAGGAGCAAAACGCATCGTGGGATTGTTGCACTGTGGCTAAATTACAGCGCTCCACGTGGAAATTTGACTGCCACGCGACAAATTTAGCAGTGTGTGGGGTACGCGCCTCCTACAGTGTCTAGAAATTATTTGGTGGTGGTGCTGCTGCAGTTGCTTTGTTGGCAGTGGTGCACATGCACACATTTTACGATTAACTATTTTATATTTTACCAAGTAAAGCCCACTGGGCCATACGGTTATAGCTCTTGAGTCAGAAGCGACCTGGCTATCATTAAATGCTAGCTCAACAAAAAAAGTGGCTTGTGTGGAAATCTCTAGCAGTCAAATAATCTTAAACGCGTGTTTCCAAATGCGGAGGTAAAAAAACAACTGGAGGACGCAGAGAAAAATCCACACGACCACGGGGAGAGAGACACACGTAGACTCCAGAAATACCCACGACCTCCTTCATACCAGGCGAGGGAGTTAACATCTCCTAGGCACTGCAGCGCCCTCCATAATACAACTCAACGCATTCGTCAATAACTACCTCCGGACTCGCTTTGTGCTATGAAGATTGGACGTCGCTCCAAATGCCACTTATTTACTGTGTAAAGGGTAAAGAAACACTTAAGGATTTTCGGGAAAAAATCCTGTGAACAAGCTTTTCTAAAGCTGTTTCTCTATCGCATGAGGCGTTTTGCTCCGTGTGATTACCAACTGGATTATTTTTATTGTGACATTGACGCCGATACCCGTTCAGTGCCCATTTCTATTGTACCACACCACATTAAATTTGATTTTGCACTTCATAGGGCTCAACGTATAATAAAAAAATGTTAGATTCATGGTCATGCGACGAACATTCTGTAGCAGGGTGGGGTGAGAATGTGCAGCCGCTCGTGCGGAGGGCATTTGAAAACATTTCAGAAGCATATTCTTGGTTCTTTCGGTAAAGTCACGTAGAAGGGAACCAAGAATATGAATCCCTGCAGTCACGAAAGCTTTCAATCTAAATTTCAGAAGCAGTTATGTGATGTCTCTTTGCATCATTGGGAGTTGGGTTGCACCTTTTTGGGCAACATTCTCAAAGATTAAATTGATGGTGTTAGAAGTGGTGGTGAAGGTGGTGCGGATGCTTAATGTGGCGGCAGTGATGCTTAAGATGATGGTGTGGATGTCGGTGGTTGGTATTTTTGTGGAATATTGTGGAGTAAGTTCGTGGCAACAGGGTGTTGTTGGAACATGCCTCTAAAACGTTTCCAGCTTAGAATAGGTCAAGTTTCCAATATTAAATTACGGCAGCTGGCCTGCATGTGTGTACAGTGTACCACAGTCTGTCAAAAACCTAGGAGCAGTTGTGTTTTTGTTCAACTGCCTCAGGTTATTAAAAGTATATGACCGATAGATTTAGGCATTTACAATCATTTTAGGTGCAAGATTAATGTAGTAGATGTGCCATTACAGTGCTTACAAATGTGCTACAGTGTATTGTTGAGGTCGTATGCAGTCCAGTTCTTGCCATAGAAACACAGCATTTGCTATCAGTGCGTTAATTGTGTTTGTGCTGTGACCATTGTTGACATCCTGCTCGCTCATGCAGCACATGAGCCCTTATCACCCAAGCTTTACTTGTTGGTCGTATCGCTTTTATAACTGCGGCCTGGGATCAAGCTGACCTATGACCAATCATAAGCAATGACTCAAATCACCCGTGCTTCGGGAGGGATGCTGATGTGACCACAGCTCCACAGTAGGCGGGTGTGGTTCATTGCTCAATAAAAAGTCATGATTATTTAGGAAATTACACACTGGAGTTTAGTAGATGGTGTGTTAGTGCAGTATATGGTGGTTCTACAGACTGGTAGTAGTTGGTAGTCAGGCAGTAAGGTGATATTTCCTAGTTTTTCTAAGGGTTCCTTGTTAATAATGGTGATTAAATGTGATCGTAATGTTAGTATGGTGACACGGCTTGAGTTCTGCAATTAATAAAGAACATTTATAACGTTGCTTATTTATATATTCTATCTCCCACCAAACATCTCAAATTAGCCTCAAGATCTATTCAAAATAGTTTTGCATGGGATATTTAATTTTTTAAAATTAACTTTATTTGCATATAGGCAAACATCTAGGGTGCATTGCATGGGGAAAAAAAACCAATACATGTAAAGCAGATCGAATTGATCATCAGCATGAATCTTTATTACAATTAAATCATCAACACAAGTCAGCCACTTACTTGCTGCGTATGCAGGCCACCTCATTCCCCTCTCACACCCATGAATGCCATTGCCATCCACCAACAGTGCCTTCCGAAGCATAGTAGTCCAATGGGTGGGTCAAGTTTGGTCATGGTTCAGAGTGATTCAGTGGTCGAGGGCTGGGAGTTGAGGGGTCTAGTGTTGGAGGTTGGGTGTTGACAAAGGGAGGCAGCGATCACGTGGTTCTGTTTGCAGAGGCATAAACTACGGTCATCCTTTGATGACCGTAGTTTGACAGGTACTGTTTGTGTGTGATTCAGTGGAGGAATTAGTGCTCTGTGTTGATTGAAATCCTGGTGGTGGTGTGGTGATTGTGGGAAAGTTTTGTGCAGGGGTGGTTTAGTGACAGTAGACATTGTTGATAGCAATGTTGTAATCCCAGTATTGTTGTGATCGTGTTAAAACTTGTAGTGTTTGCGTCGTAAGTATGGGGTGTTGTTATTATTTGTATTAATATTTAACAACACTGAGTAATATGATGGCAGAAAATGTCATATCAGGAGAAAAAGTAGTGGTGCGGTCAAATATTGTAAGCAGCTGGATTTTCACCAGCACATGAATTACGGTACTGTGGTCCCAAAATCTGATCTCTTATTAATTACATTCGTGGTCTGTACTCTGCATGTGAGCGGGAATGTGAAGCTGTGCATTTACTTTCATTAACCACGAGGTGTTGTACTGTAGTTATACAGGTACAAATTGGGTAATTTAAAAACATGGATGATGAAATAAATGTCAAATATATTTTTGCAATCTGTCTTCCAGTCAGCTTTCTGGTTTAGTATTTTTAGAGATACATGCAACACAGCACAGATGATAAACCTGGTGAACTGTGTTAAGAGTATCAGGATGCTGTTGGTTCCATTGTGGGCACGTAGTTAAATCTGTTTCTCCAGCTGTGGACTGCGTTATCAAATGTCGTTAATAATAGAGGCTCTTTCGAGAACAGAGTGCGTGTGAAGGGTGGAGCATGCATTGACGCATGGTTTCAGGCAGAAGCGATGTGTCATCTGAAAGACATCTGTGCTAGATCATAACCTAGTTTTGTACGGTGTACAAACCACATTTCCTGCTGTGAAATACGTTTAATTTAAGAGGTGATGGGAAATGCGATGTTTTACAATTTGCATATGCTATATGTCATGGGTTTACATGGTCCTGCATTCACTAGAAGATTCAACGTTCCCTGCAATTTTAATTATTCATTTTCAATCCTCAATTGCTCGAGGGAGGAGGGGGAGAGCCTCATGGATGATGTGTGTTGTTGGTCACCGTTGCCAGCATTCACGCAAATATTATTTCTTGACATTAGCAATTTCCTCTGGAGGCCACGAAATGGATGCAGTGAGTTCTTAAGGAACGTGTTTTATGGAATGGAACATAAAATCTATGCGTGGTTTATATTTAAGTGCTATATTTTAAGAAGTCATAGACAACTAATTTATAAATATTGAGTTAAAGCTTTCGTAAATGCAGGAATAATAAAAATAATAACAATATCACAACGTTTCGATCGCAACACAAGCAATAATCATGAGGTGAGAGCCGCTGAGGTAGGAAAAACATGTTTTTTGTTATGATTATATTTTTTCGATTTACGTGACTTTACCGAAAGACCCAAAAAACTAATTTATATTCACCTAAATGGAAGATTATAATAATTTCTGAGCAAACAGTTTGATTGCCGCTGATGTGGAATATTCGCAGGTTATGCACTTGGGAAGATGCAGCTTGCACCACTCGGTGTGCGGCTTATGTTTTTACACGGAAGTTTTTTTATTGTGCTCATTTCAGATTTTATTCGTGTTAAAGCACCCCTGGTGATACCACCCAACAGGCAGCAGAAGCTGTGGCTCTGGTTGTGCAATGTTTATTATAATGAAAGTATAGTTTTGCCAACTTTTCTGTCAACGATTACAGCGTTAAAGTAATTTTACTTTTGCCCACTTCATTATAATCCCTTATGTAACAATGCAAGAAATGCATACGTAATTTCACATAGCTTACTCGGGATAACCTTGGTGATAAGATTTGTG